GAGCCCCGCCCACTCTCACTGTTTGACAGTTCGTGTGTGACGTCACCGAATCCGTCCCAACACGGAAACAGAGCGGCGACCTGCTGCGTCGCTGTTATTATGGATTTAAAGCGGTACAGCAGCCGGAGACATAGTATACTTCGCTCACTTCGCTCACTTCGCTCACAGCGCGTTATTCGCCGACGTTCGACGGCCGTGGTAACGTCCGTGATCGATGGAGGTCCCGGCTGGAAGTGAGGAGAGGCTTCGACCCGAGTTTTTATCGAACTAGCGTCAGTTGTGTTTTGTTCTCAGCCATGAAACGGAGCGTTCGGGGGATCGTGGGGGCGCTGGGCCGCACACTGCTGGCTCTGGTGTTGTTGTCCTGGGAAGAAAGACTCTGTCAGGTAAACTCTGACTCCGCCACTCTTCCTGTTTCACCCGCCGTTGCTGTTACCGGGTTTGTGTTGCTACTTTCGCGGAACTTACGCCACAAATGGCTCCCGGCTGTGTGAGCTCCTGTGTCTATTTCAGGAACGAGTAAAGTTGCCATGATATGGTTGTGACTTTTGAGTGTTTTGAAGCTCACTGGGGAACTCTCTCTCTCTCTCTCTCTTTCTCTCTCTCTCATCGGGGGGGCGGGGGTAGTTACTGTTTAGGCCCGGATCTAAACTGCTCCAACTGGGGTGGGTTGGAGGGCGAATAGAAATTTGAGCAGGGAACACAAATTCACCAGCAAAATGAAAGGAAAAACGCGTTGTTTATGAAAGGAAAAGTATTTTCAGACTAAGACTGTACTGTTCTGTTTACCTATATAAATCCTCTTTCTCGCCGGAGGGTGGTGCTGTAGCTGCAGTTTTAATGCACTCGTTAAGTGATGCTGCTATATGCTATATTTCGTAAAAAAAAATTAATTTTATAAATGTTTAAAATATATAAATTTTATAATTTTTTATATATATATTTATATATATATATTATATATATATGCTATATTTAGATGCTATATTTCGATGTATATTCAATGTTTACATTGAATATACATCGAACTATCTTTCTAGTACTTTCCACATAAACAATGTTCCCTTTGTAACGTCTTAAATTGTAATCCAATAATGTAACGATAAGTCATTGACAATGTGTAAATCCTTATCTATACTTTCAGTAATCTTCACTCATCATTAATGGCTTACATTAATTATTATTATTTATTTTTTATAAAACACATTTTACTTACTTAAATATTATTAATCCACAACCACAGAATCGGATTTTCTTTGTTGTTGCATTTTTTCCCCAAAAAAATGACTCTTTAGCTCCGATGCTAACAACAAAACATGTATTTTATATCAGATATTACATTTTTATTTTTTTAAATATTTTGTACATTTATTTTAACATTACATTATTAATTATATAGAACAAGATAAATAAATATTTCTGCACACCAGGATGGAAATTAACCAGACTGGGATAAAGGGATAAAAAAGAACAGAGACAAACTGGTGTATCTGCCTCAGCTCTGTGTTTGCTGTCCTGCCAGTTACCACCCCTTAGTGGGTAAATATGGGAGTGGTAAATATGGGAGTGGTACACACACACACACACACACTCACACACACACACACACACTCACACACACACACACACACTCACACACACACACACACACTCTTAAACACATGTTTAAGTGTTTAGTGACACCGTGACTGAAGCTCCTGTCAGACTCCCTCTGTCTGTTCATAATCCTCTCACTATCTGCCCCCCCCCCCCAGGTTGGAGGCGTCAGGTCCATCACCCTCCCTGAGTCGCTCCTGTTTGTCTCGACGCTGGACGGCAGTCTGCACGCCGTCTCCAAACAGTCAGGAGAGATCAAGTGGACGTTGAGAGAAGGTTGACACGAGCGAAGTTTCCCCCAAAAATCTTTTCTCTTTACACACGTGTCTCATTTGTGGCTCCGTTGTTCTGTGATTTCTTTCAGACCCCATCATCCAAGTGCCGATCTACCCCACAGAGTGAGTCACATGTTCATATCCAGTATATGCACAGGTAGAAGAGGAACGTGTGATGACAAACTCACTGAATTTTATTTGATAAACATTGAGAAATCTTTTCAGGAAAATTGTATTTAATGCAACTCATCAAACACTAGGACAATAACAGAAAAAAATGATAAATTATTATTTTACTACGTCACTATTTATGGAAAAATAAACAAAAAAAATCAAATAAAGATTTTCGGCCTAAAATATTTGAAGTATTGCTGTCTAAACCAGTTGAGTCAGTTTTAATCTTTTATATAGACATCGCACGTCATTGTCTTTTACCAGGTGAAACAGCGCCCCCCACTGTCCTGCCTCCATCATTTACCGTGACATAGAAACAGTTTTAAAACTGAGATAATCTACTTTACTACTGTTGTATAAGTTATATGACGTCATAAATGATTGATTAGTGCGTAAGAAAAAAAGTCCAGTTGAAAAGTAAAATAATTTGTCAATAATCAGATGGAACAGGTAAGGTTAGTTAGTAACTAGTTAAAAAAGTCACCAGGCAGTGTTGCAAAAAACACACGTCACCAGGCAAAGTCAAAGAACATCAGTATAAATAGAATAATGAATAGTGGAAGTGTAAAACGTCTGACAGTGCCCCCCTCAGGCCTTCAGGAAGACTGTAGTTTGTCTTTGATTTGAATGATGGTAAAAAAAAAAAAGAGCCACTGCCTGAAGAGGTTCGATTCCTGAATGGTATTTAATTAACCACCGCGCAGTTCGAGTTAGAGTAAATAGACTTGAGTGAGTGACATAGTGAGAGAGTGAGAGAGAGTGCCTATAAAGGACAGGTCGTATAAAGACTCGAGTTATCAGCAGGGACACAGCAGGGACACAGCAGGACGAGACAAAGTCTTGACTGAAGCTGACGTTGTACTGATGCGACTCTTGTCTTTTTAGGCCAGGTTTTCTGCCCGACCCCAATGATGGCAGTCTGTACGTTCTGGGCGGGAAACACAAGGAAGGCCTGATGGTCAGGAGCAGCACCTCTTTGTTCCTCAGAGTTCCTCTCTGTTTGTTTGTTTGTTTGTTTGTTTGACTCCATGTTGACACAGGTCTTTGGATCTGTTCACAGAAACTTCCTTTCACCATCCCAGAGCTGGTGCAGTCTGCCCCCTGCAGGAGCTCCGATGGAATACTCTATCTCTCTGAAACTGTGTGTGTGTGTATGTGTGTGTGTGTGTGTGGGGGGACATACTTTCCAATGTGAGGGACATACAAATATTTGTCAAACCAACCTGTGGTTTGCAGGTAAAAAGCAGGACGTGTGGTTCGTCGTGGATCCTGAAACTGGTGAGAAACAAACCAGTCTGACGACATCTGCATCTGAGTCCATCTGTCCAAACACTCCTCTGCTGTATATAGGACGCACAGGTGGGTCACCTACCACACACACACACACACACACACACTTGCTTTCTTCCTTAAAATAACGACTTCTGTGATTTTTCTTCTTCAGAATACGTTGTCACCATTTTCGACACCAAGACTCAGGAGCTGCGCTGGAACGCTACGTACAACGATTACTCTGCTCCACCGTACGATGAGAAACAGGACTACAGTATGTGCAGTGTGTCTGTGAAACTCAGTAAAAAAGGACCAATTCATTAATAATAATATAATAAATGCATGTATACAGATGTATACACTATATATACCTGCATGTATATATGTGTGTGTGTATACATGTATATACACTATTGTGTGTGTATATACATGTATACACACACACTGTGTGTGTATATACATGTATACACACATACACACAGGGATTTATTTCCCTAATAATGAAAAGCCCATGTTTTAAAAGCTCTTTTCCCTTTTTTAACTTTGGATACGGTTCTGTCTCCTGTAGAACTTTTCTTTGTTCTTTTCATTTTGATGAATTAAAGCGGTCAGAATCAGACGTCACGGTCAGTGAACCGTCCCTCCGTCTGTAGCTGATCCATAACTGACCTGCACCTCCGTCTGTCTCCTCAGAAATGGCTCATCTTGTGTCGAGCGGTGACGGTCTCGTTGTGACGGTGGACAGAGAGACAGGTGGGCGGAGCCACGTCTGGTCAGTCTGTCAGTAAAGACAGAAACATTAAAAACGTCTGTTTTCTTCCCTCAGGTGACGTCCTGTGGAGTCAGAACTACGGCTCTCCTGTGGTGGGGGTCTACCTGTACTCGGGCGACTCGCTCAGACACGCCCCCCACATGTCACTGGCCATGGAGACACTCCGCTTCCTCACCTTTTCCTCTGCCAGTGACCAGACGGACACACAGTCCACGCTGAAGTGGAGCTACCAGTTTGTCAAGGAGCAGGCCAGCGCTCAGGCTCAGCTGGTGTACGACACACACACACACACACACACATGTCTGGGTTTTCTCCAGTTTGTGATAATTCTACCGTGAACTTCTTTAGTCGAGGAGTTAACGCAGCTTTTGTCTCTTAAAGGCCCACGCTCTACGTTGGGAAATTGGACTCTCACCTCTACGCCTCCACCTCCTTCGTCCACCACGGAGTCTCCTTAGTTGTGAGTTCAAATCTTTAAATCCTCATCATCATCAATAGAAACACCGTTTTCAGCCGGTGACGGTTGTGCCTCTTTGACCGCAGCCTCGGGGTCTGATCCTGGCCCGGATCGAGGGTCCCGTGACCGCGGAGGTGACCGTCAGAGAGCGAGGGGAGTGTGAGATCATACCGTCCACGGACGTGCGCTATCCACCGGGGAGCACCAACAGTCGGAAGAACCACTGGCTGCTGATAGGTGGGAGAGATGACCATCAGTCACAGTACAGACTGACTGTAGTTTCATTGTTACTGTAGTTGATTGTGTTCATTGGTGACACCTAACGTTTGTTTTCAGTCACTGCACCAGTGTCTCAGGTTCATCTGTTTTTCTTTGTGATTGTTTTCATCAGACAAAACGTCTGTTTTTCTTTGTGATTGTTTTCATCAGTCAAAACGTCTTATGATTACTTTAAATTACTTTAAATTACTTTAAATTTAGGATGTATTTCAGGCCGTTCCATTTCACTCAATACTTAATGTTTTAAGTTTTATATTTTGCTTAGAATTTCATTCTATTTCTATTTAAATGCACTGATAAACCAGGTCAGATATGTTCATGAACTCATCAACCATTACCAACCCTAACCCTGAGGTTGAACTGGTTAATGAGGTTAAACCAACACTGTCCAGTCCAGACCCGTGCAGCTCTAACCTGACTCTAACTGTGGTCCAGGTCATCATGAGCCCCCCCCACTGGCTCACACCACCATGCTGAGGGACTTCCCAGTCATCCTGCAGCACTCTGGTGAGGCCGTCATCCCCCCCCGGCCCCCGGGCTCCGCAGCCTCCACCGTCTCCCCTGCCGCCTACAAACAGAGGCAATATGTAAGTCACACCCTCGGCTCTATTCAGAGAGGGAGAGAGAGAGAGGGAGAGAGAGAGAGAGAGGGAGAGAGAGAGAGGGGGAGTCAGTAAATTACCAGAGGGTTAGTGGGCAATTATTCTCTCTTATTAGACTATTACTCTGTGCTGCAGCCTCTTTACAGCAGCTGGGAGAAGAACTATTGATGTAATACAACACTTAATGTCTCACTAACTACAGCATCGATCCAAAAGTGCTCAACATAAAATAAAACGAACAAACCGGCGTCGGTAAATGTGATTCCTCCTCGTTTGTGTCCTTCAGTTCCAGACAGTCGCCGGAGGCCACGGTGACGGCGCTGTGTACAGAAGAGAAGGACGGGGAGGAGGAGGAGGAACAGGAGGAGGAGCAGGAGGAGCAGCAGGGCAGAGAGGAGCGTCAGGACCCCAGCCCAGGGCGGCCCCTGTGCTGCCCGTCTACATGACTCAGGATAATCTGACCCTGGTCGTCCTGACGCTGCTGGTCGGAGGATGGCTGGCCTTCATGTGCACGTACCCAGTGGTGAGTGCCACCTTGTAGGGTTTAGTGGCCTCTACTGGTGAAAATGAAGTTTGATTTTAGCTTTCATGAATTTCAAACAGGGACCTAACGATGCATCGTGAATGGGTTAAAAATCATTACAAATGTTGACAATTCACATCGGTTGAAATAAAAAACTCAGTCGTGCATCAAGGTGTAAGGAGTAGGCTCACAGACGCTACACACTCTAGGACAGTAGGTGGCGGTATGTGACTAAAAACATTGGTTGTGACCTGTTGTTTTTTTCTGTCCTGTTCTGGTGTCAGTCGATGAGTTCTGACAAAGTGAGCATCAGTGGAGTTGGTTTTGAGCTCATTTGGTTTCAAAACATTGTGATAAAATCGTGAACAAAAAAAATATCGTATCAAGTTCAGTGTGGTTCCAGCCCCAGTCAGGTTGTGATGGTGTCTTTTTGGGTTTTTTTCTCCAGCGTGCCAAACAGCTGAAGGCCCAGAAGCAGCTGGAGGAGGTCTTCGAGACTCACTTCCAGAGAATGCAGTCCAGTCTACAGACCAACGTCCAGACCTCAGCCTCCACAGACACCAACCTCTCCACTGACACCAACCTCTCCAGTGGTGAGCAGCAGGATGGATGTTTATAAAAACGTACAGTAAAGAGTCCAACTAGTGGTGAACGATGAGAAGTTCAGGCTGTGGTGCAAAAAAAAAACAAAAAACGAAACAGTTGTTTTTATCTTTTTTTTATCATAAATACCATACAACAGCGCCCCCTACAGTTGAAAACTGTTAGAATGTAACAAGCAGCTTTGATTTTTCACCCATTCCTGGAACAGGACCAGGAATCAAACCAGCAAACCAGGGGTTAACTGCTGTTTTTAACACGTTTTTAACATTTTCTATCCTCCAGACTCTGTTTTTGAGGACCCCTCACCCACCCCCCCCACTCACAGCAGCAGCAGCAGCGCAGATGTTCTCAGGAACGGCACAGCTGCTCCCAAACCCGCTGCAGGTAACGCCTCGAGAAGACGAACCGGTGGAGGTGGTTTTCGTTATTCACCTTCAACCGATTGTTCTTTACTTCCTGCCGTTCACAGGAGCCGGCGAGGAGGTGCAGGTGGGTAAGATCTCCTTCACTCCCTCTGACGTCCTGGGACACGGAACAGCAGGAACCTTTGTCTTCAGGTACGGGTCCACACCGGGTTCACTTCGATCGTGGTCGTCTACACGACCGCTGACCGCTGCGATGTTTGTTTGTGACGTCAGGGGGAAATTCGACGGACGCCACGTGGCCGTGAAGAGAATCCTGCCCGAGTGTTTCGAGGTGGCGGAGCGAGAGGTGCAGCTCCTGCGAGAGTCCGACACTCACCCCAACGTCATCCGATACTTCTGCACGGAGCGAGATCGCCTCTTCACTTACATCGCCATCGAACTGTGCACGGCCACCCTGCAGCAGGTCGGTGTGGGTCGGAGCGCCGTCCGTCCTCTGGTTCAGGATGACTGACAGCTGTGTCTGTGTCTGTGTCTGTGTCTGTGTCTGTGCAGTACGTGGAGGGTCCGTCCAGCTTCCCCGGCCTGAGTCCCATCACTCTGCTGGAACAGACCATGTGTGGCCTCTCACACCTTCACTCCCTCAACATAGGTCTGAGACACAACACCTGATGAAAACCTCTGCACAGTACGGTTCATATCCAAATCCTCAAACCCCACGCTCTTCACGCTCCGCCTTCTTTTTTTTTATCAGTCCATCGTGACCTGAAACCCAGAAACATCCTCCTCTCGGGGCCCAGTGCTCTGGGTCAGGTCCGGGCGCTCATCTCCGACTTTGGACTCTGCAAGAAAATTGCGGACGGTCGGTGCAGCTTCTCCCTGAGGTCAGGAATACCAGGAACTGAAGGCTGGATCGCCCCAGAAGTACTGAGGGAAACGCCAGGAAATAAACCAGTAAGAAGGTTTTTACTACTTCATAAAATAATAATAACAAAGTTTTTTTTTTATTTGAAAATAGATTTCTCCGATTCTTTTTTTTTTTGTCCATCACAGACTGCAGCCGTAGATGTTTTCTCAGCTGGCTGTGTGTTTTACTACGTAGTCAGTAGGGGGCAGCACCCCTTTGGGGATGCACTCAGGCGACAGGTCAACATCCTGTCAGGAGAATACTGGCTCTCACATTTTAAGGATGATTTAAACGGTGAGCTCAGGGTTTTTGTTTGGTGATAATTTTATTCTGCTCCAAAATAACCTTGACGTCTGTGTCCAATCAGACGACTTCATAGCCAGAGATCTGATCGAACAGATGATCGGGGCTGAGCCCGAGTCTCGACCCTCCACAGCCTGTGTCCTGAAGCATCCGTTCTTCTGGAGTCCAGAGAAGCAGCTGCTGTTTTTCCAGGTCTGACGTCGTCGTTCAACTTTGTGTTTTTTTTTTTTATGACATCTTAGCCTCGAGTCTAACGAGACTGACGTGTCTAAAGTTTTCACCTCCATCCGTTCTCTCTGTGTCTAAGGACGTGAGCGATCGCATAGAGAAGGAACCAGCCGACAGTCCTATTGTGGTCAGACTGGAGACTGCAGGGAGAGCTGTGGTCAGAACCAACTGGAGGATGCACATCTCTGTGCCCCTACAAACAGGCACGGACACACACACACACACACACACACACACACAGTGTTTATTCCCTGTAGTTAATTCAATAACACCGCCGCTGCCTTTAATCCATCTTTCTTTGACTCATCTTTCATCACAGAATCCTGTTCCGTTTATGACAAACATGTTTTTCTTTTCAGATCTGCGTCGTTTCAGGACGTACAAAGGAAACTCGGTCCGAGACCTGCTGAGAGCCATGAGGAATAAGGTCAGACAAACAGCTTGAAACCTTTTTTTAATAAAATCTTTATGAGTTACGTCTGAGTCTATGTGAACTGAAAACATTTCTGGATTTTTCTGGATTAATTTTCCAGCTCTTTGAGTCAGTTGACCTGCAGGAATGACATGACATTTAAAAAATTTTTTAAATGTTATATTAACCTGCAAAGGTCAAAAGGTTGTTTTTTTGTTTTTTTTCACACTCACCTTCTGCTTGTACAGAAACACCACTACCATGAGTTGCCACCGGAGGTGCAGGAGACACTGGGCGAGCTGCCCGACGGCTTCATCGTCTACTTCACCTCACGCTTTCCGCGGTTGTTGATGCACACACACGCTGCCCTGCACATCTGTGCCCACGAGAGACTGTTCCACCCCTACTACCTGCCCCCCAGCTCCAAATAACTGTCACGTGACTCACGGTCAGGAAATCCCTAACAGTGGATATTGCTTTTGTAAAGCCCAGATACTGTTTGGAAGGTAAAATGTTGTTTTGTAAAGTAGTGAAAAAAAAAGTATTTTATTGAAGTTACTTAAACTGTGCAAAAACAGCCAAAGACAGTAATGTTAAAATTGACCAGTACCAGGAACACACTCTGACTTCTGCTGATTTTAGAGCTGTCATCGTACTGTTTCTCACAGACACGACTGTGATGTTTTCCTCTTCTGTTCATCACTGCACTGCTACGAGGTAACGGTCAAATATTACTGGTGTTACATCTAAAGTTACAGATATATTTCTTTTTTATCTTTAAACTTGGCTGTTCACTCCGCCTCATGGAAAACTACTGTAATGTCAGGCTCTAATCACTGGATGAAGGTTTGTGTGTCGTTCTGCAGTGGACTCATTTTGTAAGTTTTGTGACTGTGTGAATAAAACTGTTGCTATGGGAGTGCCAAAGAAGGGTGTAAATCAAGTGTGTGGTGATATTGACAAATTCAGACCAAATTTGTTTTTTTTAGATTTTTATTGCATTTATTATATACAAAAATAAATAAATAGATAAACAACTGAAACCGTCAGGAGAGCACCAGATAAGTTTGTTTTACCCCATGTCACTTTCCATCCATGTACACATTCAGTTTTTATTGTATAAAATATTTTTTATTTTTTACTTTTTTATTATTTAATTTTTACTACGCCAAATTGTAAAAAAAACAAGTGTCAAAACATTTCTCTTTTTTTTAGTAGATTTATTGTTGTCGCAGCAGTTCAATGTTTATTTTGTATCAACGTCAGTACTTCACTTTGACCACAGGGTGTCACTGAAGCTCCTTGGTAACCGGTAAAGGTACAGGAAACAGGTACAAACAGGAAATAGGTAACAGGTGCGTGCACTTGAAGAAGTTGACAGCTTCAACTTGAAGCTGTGTGTTGGCCGTGAACGTTATCATCAGGTCAAAGTGAAATAAACGTGGAATCACGTGAGCTCAGCGCTTTGTGTTCAATGAAACAATGTTTTGTTTTTTTAATTCAGAAACTTGGACTAAACTGCCACAAATACTCGAACAGTTGCGTATATTATTTATTATATCGATTATCAGGCGTTTTGACTGAACGGCCAGATTCCCGCTACGACCTGATACAGAATATGAGCAGAAACGGTTGTTCGTTCATTTATGGGAAGTTACTGTTGTTGGAAATCGTAGAAACCATGGATATAACATTGACCACGACTGTGACCGAACCACTGGTCCGTCAGTACCGGGTCCAGAACCGTCACAGTCCCCGCGGAGAAAGTCCTCAAACTCACCGGGATCTCACGGATTGGACACATCGACCTACGCTGGTTGGCCATAAACAGGTATGGTGACGTCACTTGTTGCTAAGGTGAATTTGCTTATTGTTTATATCTAACGCTGACATCGTTGACTCTGTAATGTTCCATGTGTCGTGTGACGATGGGGAGAATCACGTTGGTCGAACGGGATGTAAATATGGCAAAGAACTAAACTGTAAAACAGAGGGAAATTAATCAGACAGAAATAATAATAATAATAATAATAATAATAATAAGCCTGAGGTTAACGTTCTGGCGGGTTTGTTAGTGGTGACCGGTAGAAAATGTGAGCGATGTTGTTGTTGTTTGTTGGCTGTGGAAAATATAAAGTCGTTGAATCAACAGGAAGTCAAGATGATGAAGAGTAAAGCACTTCCTGTGTATCAGACAGTGTATTAGAGCCTTGTTAAACTGACGTTAACTCTGGGATGGATGGATGAGAGTGTAGCTGTTTTCGTTACTGCAGCTTCTGTCAGTACTAACAGAAGTAACAGTACTAAAAACAAGTACTAAATCTTTACTGTACCTATACTATACTGTGTCTCACAGCTTAGAATAGAGACAGAATTATTTATTTTTTTGCTGAACTGCATCGTATTACATCTTTTTACCAGCAGAGGGAAACATTTCCCACAAAACTCGTCGTTCTAAACCAGAGTTGGTAAAGACATTTGAATCAAAATAATATGTTTTTTCATGTAAATGCTGGGTTTATTTTGCTTCTGTTTTGCCGCTGCGTCCAAACAGCAACAACAACAACTTCCTGTAGAGCAAACGAAGCCGCAGCAGCAGCAGCTCGTGATTTAATCTCAGTGTCAGTGTGAAGGAAAAACAGAGCAAGGGTTTAATGACGGGAAGACCTGGACTGATGTGTCATGACCGGAGCATCTGCTAATGAACCACTGGCTGTTTATGTTCCCCTGTGACACATTAGTGTGAGTGTGAGTGTGTGTGTGGCAGTAACACAGGGAGCACTTGGCCCATTATTAAATATCAGAGTTCAGGTCTCGGCCCAATCAAAACAGCCTGAGGGAAACGTCAGCCTGATCAGAGTCATGAGACCAGTTTCACTCCCACAGATTAGCTGCGTGGTCTACAGATGTGACTTCGACCGGGTTTTACAAATTTGTCCTGAATTTTGTTTTAAGTCAAGTAGAAAAAAAATATTTTCTTTGTGAATTCATGTCAGTGAAACACGTCTGTGATCAGAGCTCATTTACAGTCAGTGGTTTCTCTGTTGTTGATAGAACATGTTGTGTATCTGTGTGTGTGTGTGTGTGTGTTGACTTTGTGGTGAGCAGTGGAGCCTCACAGTCAGAGGTTCCTGGTTCAGCCAAAGGCCTCATCGTCTCTCTGTGTCTGTTTGGAAATGTCCTGAAATGCTCTTCATCGCCACCTGCTGCTCCTGGGCTGTAAACTGACACAGATAGAAGCTGAGTGTAAATAGAAGACGTGTGACGTCAACAGGCCAGACGTTGGGTTCTGTACGTGCAGTACTGCAGTACTACACATGTTGCAGTACTGCAGTACTACACATGTTGCAGTACCTGTTGTAGTTCAGGCCGTTCCTTCCTTCATAAAGTTACTCAAGAATTTACCTTCAAATACTTTTTTACAGTATTTTTAAAGGCCGTTCCTTCCTTCATAAAGTTACCTTCAAATACTTTTTTACAGTACATTTAATAGTACCTGTATTCAACATACTTTACTAAAGGTATTTCACTGTCTTTGTTGTATTTCTGTTCTGATAGAAGAGGTTGAACATTAGTCAAAAAGTTCTCAGACGAGGTTCACATACAGTAGATAAGTAGGTTGGAGTTGTCCTAGAACTTTTTGACTTCCTCTCTGAGTCTCAGGGCAGATTGGGTGAGAACAATAACAGTGTGTGTGTGTGTGTAACCTGAGGACATGGCGTCCTCCTCTGTAGTTGTGGTCTTCCTTATGTTTGAAAAACCACGGGGGAGACGTTCTCCCTGTGGTCCAGGACTTTTC